GATAAGGCGAAAATCCAGTTAAAAGTGAGATTTATGATCGATCAGAAACTCTTCTGATCATAAGTTATAAATACCCATACTAATTAGAGGTAGGAAGACACAAAAACACAAGTCACACACATGCAGAAATACAAAAAAATAGTCAGAAAGTGTGGAAGATTGTTCGAGAAATTTTTTTGAAAAAAATAAATTTTTTTTTAGAAATTTTTTGAAAAATTTTTAGATTTTGATGAAATTTTTTGGTGCCGATTGAATTTTTCGATGAATTTTCTAGCACCGATTAAATTTTTTGATAAGATTTTAGTGACATTTCTAGTTTTTTGTGGAGCTCTCAGTTTTCGACATCCATTTTCCAAAAATCGATGAAAGTTTGGCCAGATTTCGGTAAACCTACCCAGATTTCACAGCAATCCCAAAATCTGGTGAAAGATTCAACCGATGTTCTTGAGGTTTAGAGAGAGAGAGAGAAAGGGAGCAGAAGAGATCCGACGAAACTAAGCTGAGATTTGACCTTATATAGGGCCCCGAAATGACGTCGTTTTGGCATTAAGTAACTTATTAAGATCCGCGTATTTTGTCGCTGGATCACCTGATCCGAGCACTCGACTCGCTTCAACCAGCATCTCTGCCTTCTGTTCCAGTCGAGCCGAGCCGCACCTCCAAGCCGTCTTTTATTTCTGAAGCTGAGCCATTCTGTAGCTGTAAACCAAGACGTTTTTTGTATTTATTTGGGTTTTTTTTTATGTGTTTATTCTTTAGTATTTTTGCATGATTAAATTTTTTTTAAAAAAAAAGGTAAAAAATAATTTTTTTTGGAATAAATATTAATTATCCAATGATGAAATTTATAGAAATTTCAAATGATAAATTTTTATAGAATTTTTAGGTGACAAATTTTTATAAAATTTTTAGGTGAGAAATTTTATCTAAATTTGTGTCCCAAATGGTGAAATAATTTAGATAAAATTTCAATAATAGTAATTGATATTTATTTTCAAACCAAAATAAAAAATAAAAATTTGGGTTGAAAATATTTGACAATTATCCAAGGATGAGATTTTTAGAAATTTCAAATGGTAAATTTCTAAGAAATCTCTATGTGAGAAATTTTCTTTAAATTTGTCCCAAATGGTAAAATAAGTTAAATAAAATTTTAATAAAAATAATTGTCATATTATTTTCTTTTCAACAGAAAATAAAAAGAATTTCTAAATAGGCCCAAATGGTGGAAAATTTAAAAATTTTTAAAAAAATATTTCTAATTTGGCCTAGATGGTGGAATAATTAGATATATTTTATCAAAACAAAAATAACTAAATTTTTTTCGATGACGGAACCTCTTTAAGAAATCAAATGAAATTCTTGAATACTCTTGAGGTGAAAAAATATTTTTAAGAATTCTATCAGATTGATGGAGAGTCTTAAAAATGATTTTCAATATTTCAACATTAAAATTAAAACCATTAAAACCAAGACCATAGGATAAATTTAAAATAATATGTTACTATCATTCGGATGGGCATGTGGGGTGTTATAACCTTCTCCACATATAATCGAACTCTCGAACCATGTTCTGGTTAGTAGACCAAAACCTATTATTTTAGCCACCCTTTGTCAAGCTTAGGAGCTCCTTAAAGGAATAAATTTCTTAGGTGGCCAATCACACCTAGTAAAAAAGATCAATGGTGACTTCATCCATTTTGTTAAGTCTAGCTATAGATTTACGAATCTATATGTTATGACAATGAATAAAGACATTTTTTTTTGTATGGTTTGGGTTTTGATTTTTGTTTTGAAGTACAGCTTTCTTAAAACTGTTCTTGAGAGGATCTATTATATCAGTCTTTTCTTAGTGAAAGAGTTTTATTTGGATGTATCACTTTTTTTGACCTATGGATAATACCCTCTTATGAATTATGCATAGTTTCTCTTCAATTTATTTTCATTTTACAACAAAACCAGTTTTCAGAAGTGAATTGCAGTTTATAGCCCTTGAAAGGTAGTATTTAAGATTGATCATTGATGAGGTTATTAGGGCTTTGGTCTTGAGAAGTGAGAAGATGATGAAGATCAAAACAGTTGGTACAGCCTGATCCAAGTTAGTTGTTCCTTCTCTAGACAATAAGGTGGGCAAATTAACAGGGTTTTGCTGTAATGATTTTGGTGCCAGAGATGCGATAGTTTTGCAGTGCAAGTCTGTTATACTTTGTAGTGCAACAAAACAACAATTCAGAGAGAAATAGAAAGGGGCTGCTTCTTTACTTCTAAAGCTGCAAACTTGTCCAAACCCTTTGCAATAAGACAAGTAGTTGATCGAACAAAACCCTTAGTCAGCTCTATAAAACACTAGGGAAATGAAAAACCTTGTGGGAAAAAGAAAGTTATGTTTTATAAATGAATTTCTCTGTAACAAATAATAAACCAATTCCTGTAATGGTTTTAAGATATGATCATTAAAAATGATATCACTCCTCTCCATGCAACCAAAAAAACAATTTCCTTTTTTTATACTGTATAATACATGTTTTCCCTAGGATAATACAAGTAGGATTTATTTAAGGACTTTGTCTTCCATTCAACAAGGCATCAATCTGACCATTTTGATGTTTGATATAAGGGGTACCTATTTGTGGAGCCTTAGATGTGCAGCTTGTAACAAAAAATTTCTTCTAGGGTGATCTTGAAAAGGATAATTTAGAAAATGGCAACATTCTTTAAAGCTTGTTCTCAAGTTTTCATCTTAGCTCTAATTAGCACTAAACTTTTGTATTAGTACCATGGTATTTTCTAGTATTTAATATAGTCAGAAAGTCCAAGTTTGAAGGTTTCATTTCGAGACTGTCAATTTGGAAGACTCATTTTCAAGTCATTAGAAAGATGGAAATGAGGTTTATTTGATAAGTGAGATTTATATTAGTTGGATTAAACAGATATAAACCAAAGAATAACTTAGAGGGTTGTGATAACATATTAAATATTGGCATAGAAAGAAGACAGACTATGAACTCTCATCATATTTATATTGGTTTTCTTAAGTCAATAAACTACTACATGTGATAAATGTGCTTTTATGGGCACTATCTGTGTTATGTCCTTAGAAAATGTTCACTTACATAAAAAATTATATATTTTATTAGTAAAATCTCTATTTCCTTGGATCTAGGGGTTCTCATACGAGCATTTCAAAGAAAAATTCCAAGGAATAGCTATATTTTCATGTAAGATTGCTTCATGATGAGATAAATTACGATATTTATAGAAAATTTTGAAATTTATAATGTACTAAAATGTGTAAGCTTTAGCAGCTTTTGTTTTGAGTTGGGATGTAAATATATATATATATATATATAGATTTTATAGGTTAGTAGTGAATTGGATGATGATATCTTATTAATTAAATAAATTAGATGAAATTATCTCATTAATAAATAAATTTTTGTTATGGTACTTGCATTCCCTTGTCGGTATGCTATGACTTTGCATGGTTATAACTTGTGAAACGGGCAAAAATCGGATAGAATCATGATCAGTAAGAAATCAAAATCTTTCATATAAAATGATCAGTAAGAATAGAATTGATAAAATTAAATTGAAATCTTTTCATGGTTTAAACATACTTAAAGAATGAATCTAAAAGGTGACATTGAAAGGATTATTTTCGGATTCAGTTATCTAATTATTTAATTATTTTAATACATGCTCAGTATTTAATTACTTTATCTACCTAGGATCATATTTCTATTATTGAAGCTCTTTTGGGTTTACTATTATAACATTCAACAATCAACACATAGACTTCTAAAAGAAAACTGTAGATATTATCTTGTTTGTATGATTAAAAGCAACATGCTTACACAAGTACTTGGCACATGCAAGTTACAAACTAAAGAAGCCCTGGCCAAAGTCATGTGGCTACCATTTTTACTCTTTAATGGCCAACGATCATGCATTAGTTTAACCTTTAAGGTCTAATGGTTATGTTCTGTTAGGAATTTTTAGCAAGGAAACATGTTTGATTAGGAGTTTTTTAGTAGGGTTTTTACTAGGAAATCAAGTTTTTGATACAGTTACAACTTACAATCTCTAGTTTCCTTTTTGTTTGTTTTGAAAAATAAGAAATTGTCTTATTTTTGGGTATTGAAAGGTACTGAAAGGTACAGAAAACTACAGATAGTATTCATGATGACACCTTAATATGATCCCATCAAAACCATGTTGCTACAGATAAAATAATAGCCATAAGTTCTAACTTCAAACAAAAAACACAGCTGCACTGTTCACAATGTCAATGAAGCCCTCTGCTGGGCTGTGTATTCATTTCTTTCACTGTCTGAGGTAACAAATGTTAGTGTGTTGTGAGTTTAAAGGCCAAGGTACGTACTTACTAAAACAAAGTAGCAGAATACAAGAAATTTGGAACAGCAGAAGCTAATTGATAAAACTACTTTAGCCTTATGTTTGGTAGGCCTGCACGTAAATTTATCAACCAGGATTTTGTGGTTCTACAATAAGAAATGATTAGTGGAGAATTGATGAATGAGTACCTTAGAACAGATATTGAACTGAAAGGTATAAATTTGAAAAAAAAAAAAAAGTTGTGTGATATGTTACACTGCAATAATGAGACATGAGAATGCTTTGAAAATGAAGAATATTTTGATTATTTTTCTCCAATGATGGATAAGATCTCAATGACACACACACACATATATATATATAAACCTTAGTCGAGCTTGTAAGATTTTAGTATCACATTGGCTTGTTAACCGAGTTGCTTACTTTTAGTCCTTGTAGGATAGAAGTAAATTTTATCATGCATGGTACATCTATTAAAAGATTTCAGATCAATAGGATGTAAATGCGTGCATCTTCCATTAAAGGAAAAGTTACCAACCATTAGTTTGGCACATTAATTGATTTTTTTTTTTCATTTCATTCTTGTTTGGTCACTAATATTTTCATTATCCTTTGTTTTCATTTTCCACCTCTTTGATTCTTAGCATGATGAAAACACTTGAAAAATACCAGAGGTGCAGTTATGGTACCCTGGACACCAGCCGATCAATCAGTGAGACACAGGTAGCTTTGAAAGCTCTTCCTATGATTTTGACATTCAAAATGAAATAGTTTGTCCTATTATTTTAGAACATAAACGCTATTGAATTCCAGCAGCATGTAGTGACACTCAGCAGCATACATGTCTTTTATTCTTTGTCAAACATCAGTAATGTTTATAATCCGGATTAAATGTACGCTCCACTGCCTTCTAATGTGGGATCTTTTTTTGGTTTACCTATTAATGACCCAACTATGATATTATTAGTTAGGAGTCTTATGACTAAATTTAACAACTTTTTTCTGTCATAAGCAGAGCAGCTATCAGGAATATTTGAAGCTGAAAGCAAGAGTTGAGGTCCTACAGCGATCTCAGAGGTATAACTGTAATACAGTTTAATGGTACTCCAAAAAAAATTTTTTTATTCGGAAAATTTGGGCTACAGACACCATGATCAAGTTGAATTATATCCCTTAAATCTCTTTTTTTTAATTAATGCTGTAGAAACCTTCTTGGTGAAGACTTGGGTCCAT